TCCATGCCTGGTCCTCCCCCTCCCCCCCCTCTCTCTCTCTCTCTTTTGGGGGGGGAGGTATGGAAAGGGCTGATGAGATTTGAGTGGCAAACCTGAGGGCTGGAGTTGACCACATACAATTCAGGAGTCAAGCTCCTTTCACCATCTGATCCCTCTTCCACTTGGAAATCAACCCCGTCTTCAGGCTGAAGATGGGACTCAGGCATGGAAATTTTACCATCCGTGTCAGTGGAGACCTCAGCGATGGGGGGCTTTGAGTTCTTGGAGTAGGGGCCAATGGAGATCTTAGGGGGCCCTCACAGTGTTTGGACTTGGTCCTGGCCTTGCGGGGACTTGAGTCGGTAGTCTTGCCCTCATCTTTTTCTGGGGCCTTATCCTGAGGTAGTTTGGACCTAGAGGTTTTATCAGGCCTAGGAACATCCTCCCTCACCGGTCCACCCCTTTTCCTGGAAGCCACTTCAATAGGAGCAGAAGGAGGAACAATGGCTGGAAGGGAATCCCGAGGAGACCCAGGGAGACTGGCATCAGAGCCATTGGAAGCCATTTTACTCATGATTGCAGAGTCACAAAATGGCCACCAAGGATTTTCCCCACCTAAACTGCTTCAAAATGGCCACCAGAATCTTCAATCCCCTGAGGGATAACAAGAGCGAACCAACAATGTCGGCTAATTTGCTATGGCCTCGTGATCTTCCTGAGGCCTCCATGCTGCCAGTGCAATGAAGATCTGTCTGGCAATGGCTGACAACCGCTGGCAAGGCAATGAAAGGCTGCAGCAGCCCAGTGGTGGCAGTAGTAGCTTGCCAGCAGCAGTGCAATGATAGCGGCCTGGCAACAGTGGCAGAGGTGGTGGCACTGGAAGCAGCACAATCGGCAAAAGTGGAGAAGCCACAAGAAGAGGTGAAGGTGGTGGAGATGATACTTACTAATCACCATGCACTGGAACCGTGGGCCTATAGCTCCCTTGATGAGCCTGAGGGGCCAGGCAAGGGCCCTGATTCAGAAAACCACCCACAATGCTTCTAATCCACAGCAGATCCAATATAGGTGAATTTAAACTCTTTTTAAAAAGCCAATTAACTGAATGAAATGAAATTTAGAATAAAAATATAGCTAATTTATTATATCTTCAGGAATGAGACAGAGGCTCGTGTCCGGTAACTCTGTAACCAATTTATTTTAACACAACTT